AGCTTTAATTCTTGTATATAGTTTTTATTTTGTATTTTACAATCTTAGTATATCTTTAATATATAGTATATTAATATATACAACTAAATTACTAATAAAGGTATGAGCAAGGCCTTACCTTAATACAAAAAAAAAATGCAATACTAAGTTACTATATAATACTAAGATTTAAAGTATTTACAAAAATAGTAGCAGCAAATCTAGCATAAAATATGGATTGGTTAAAAGACTAATAGTAATAGCAAGCCTAACTTAAAATATGAGTTTATTATAAATTTTAAACTATTGTTAGAACATCTTAAGAAAATTAATAATAGACATATTAAAAATAAAAGATTATAAAGATTAGATATAACCAAGTAAAACCAATTTAAAAATGATATAATAACAAAAAGATAAAAAATATAAAGAACAAGAAATTACTAAATATAGTTAGATTAGAAAGCAAAAGAAACAAGACCAAATAAAATATATAAATAAAATAAATAAATATAATTACAGAAGACAGTATTTTTAATATTAGAATACTATATTAAGTTTAATAGGTATTTTTGTTTATATAATAATTTAATAGTAACCTCTAGGGTTAATAATATAGTGGTTATGCTTCAAGGTCACAAATCACAAGATTGTCAGTTCAAATCTTAGTGATGTTAATTGTAGAAATACATTTTTAAAAATAGAGAACTACAATATTGTGACACTAAAGACCCAGGATGTCATCGATGAACTTATTTCTAAAAAAGGCAAGTGATCTGCAATTGAAAAGCCACCTGATGATGAACATAAGTTAGAATTTAATTTGTAATAACTGAAGTTATAAGATGTAATGTAAAGCTAAAAATCTGACAATAAGAAATACTATATGAACTCATAGTGATAGCCAGTTCTGAACAGAGCCTGGTAAAGCCTTCTGATTCTGGCAAGGTTAGTGCAATGGATCATTCTTAGAAAATTTAAAAGCACAGACCAGATAGTTGAAGTCAAGTGACCAAAAACATTAAGAACATTAGTTCAAAAATATAGAATGCAAGAATAACTTTAGCAAGATTATCAAAAAAGAAAAAAAAATTTTAATAATACATTCTAATTACAAATGCTTGCTAAGATAACTGCATGCAAACATAAAACAGATACAGACCTAAGTACTATATAAATAACTAGATCAAGTTAATAATATAAAATTAGAATAGCAAATATAGTACTAGTAATAATTGATTTTGTAAATATAACTATAAATTTTACTATATTAAATTTAGAATCTAATAAACCAATTAACAGTATTATCAAGGTTCAAAAAAAATTTCATTTTAATTATATTACTAATATGTTTAAAAATTAGTTTCTTTATTTAATAAATTTATTTATAACTTATAGTTTTAAACAACTAATAAATTCTAATTTAGATCTTAATTTGACTTGTTTTAATAAAATTGTTATGATTTAGTTTTTCTATTAACAGAACTTCTAAATAATAACTATATGCTAAGACTTTGTTAATTAAATCTTGATATTGTAATTGTTTACAATAATGTTAAACAATTCTTTGTTCTAATTTTAACAAAATTTATATTACATGTTTAATTTTGTTCTATTTTTTATATTTATAATGTTTTTTGTATTTTTCTTCTTTTAAATGAGATATTTAAACTTTATTTATTAATTTGGTTAATATTAACAACTTTGTTCTAATTAGTTTAATTATTTTTAAATTTAATAATCATATTATTTCTTTTGTAATTGTTTTTTGTTTATTAATAGATTTTTTAATTTTTTGGTATTTATTTCATTAAATTTTTTTTATATTTTTGGTTTATAAAACCTTTTTTTTTATTAACTTCTTCGTTAAAAAACTTTTCTTGTTAATAAGCTTGCTTTTCTATCTTTTGTTCTTTTTTAAAATGTGTAAATATACTCTCTAATGTAAAATAATTTTACTGAAATATTCAACAATAAGCTCCTATGTTCTCTTATAATAAATAAAAACTCTAATTTCCGAAAAGCTAGTTAGTATAAAAAAAATAAATAAAAATTAAATAATACAATAAAACCTTCATAAATGCCTTTAAGACTAAACTTTACCAACATGTATTTAAAGAACGATAAGAAAAAGTAAATTTGAATGTGCATTTAAAGAAGGTATGCACTTAATAAAAGATGCATTTATAAGATTTTACTTTATTGTTAAAACAGATACTTATACCGGTGTTGGCCTATAACCTTAAATAAGTCATTTGGTCATAACGAAAATTGATATAACTTATGACCTTTTTTAATATAAATTTTTTTTTTTCATTGGCATTTAATGACTGACAAAAAGTCATAAATTGTATGACCAAGGTCATATAGGAAAAAAAATATTATAAAATAGGTCATTGGCCAACACTGCTTATAACTGCATTCAATATTTTTTAATTTCACATTGTACACAGAATTTGTTATAATTTTACCATTTATTAGCAACCAGAAATCTCTGAAATTAGGGATTTGACTTGTTAATTACAACTCACCCTCGTTACAGTAAGTGATCCGTTCCATTAAAAGAAATTTTTTAAAAATTCACTATGCCGAGAGTTTTATTAGCCAGCGGGGGTTCCGCAAATTTAATTGGAGGATAGTGACCGGCTGCACAATCACTATTATATCCTTATTATATCTACTCTCGTTCTTTGATAAACAAGATTTTCCGTCTCAGTCTCTTGCTCTAAATTGCGTGGAAATGGATGAATGGTCATTTTCGCATATGTTCCACCCGCATGGCTCTTGCAAAGGTACCCAGGATTAATACAAACAACTTGATCAATAATCTAAAAAATTTTGTAGTTATTCTAATTATTAAATGTTTAAATAATATGTAAGAACGAAAATCAACCTACTTTAGCAAAAAATTTCAATTTGGAAGGAAGTAAGAGAACATCAGGTGTAGACTTTAATTCTAAACTTGTTATATGCTTCAAATCCATATTTACTTCACCAATAGCTGGTGGAAATAATGGATAAAGACTAAATCCAACATGATACATAAACTCAGAAAGTGCAATTTATAAAGTCAATCAAAAAACTGCGAGATCAATGCTTACTGTTTTTGAGTCAAAATGTGACGCACCATTCTGGACATACGATCTGTTCCACTTGGGACCCTATTAGTTACAAATCATGTTATTTTTCTTTTTGACATGTTTCAATAATTCGAATATACAATAAAAATTATAAACTATATTCACCTTCCTGTTTCATCCCTATTAAGATGAAATAGGAGATCAACATTGCTAATAGCAAATAACATTTCATTTATCCGAAATTGAACCGGATTACACAAGCAAATAACTTCCTTTGAAGTTTAAAAATCAATAAAACGTATAAGTTCATCAAAATACTCTGTAATAGTGTCTAGAGTGACAAATCATATAGATCTATTTTATGTATATGCATATGATGTACTTTACATGATTTTTAATGGTTTATAATGTAAAAACTACATCACATTGTTATATATAAAATCAAATTATTACCTTGGGCAATCCTGCTTTGTCCAAAGGTGGTTGAGGAAATGACAGACATTCATGACATATATCTTTCGTACTGGGAATCATAATAATCTTTGTTTTCGGTGAGGATTTGATGAATGCAGCCAATGGAAACGTAATAAATTTTCTAAAGAGTTCCCCAGGTGTATTTAACACCTCTCCACTTTGTATCATAGGATGATCTTCATCGACAAATGGTCCCATCTAATTTATGTTTATGTATTCACTAGATTTTTTTTTTTTACATATCGCGTGAATTCTACAATAAATCATATATAATTACCAAAATTAAGATATCTGGTTTTTCCTCTGTCATCTTTCTTATCAATTCGCGTAATGGTTCATATTCAAATCCTGTTTCCAATGAATATGGTCCGGCTGCAACCACCACACTTAACGGTTTTCCGTTTAAATTTTTATTGTGATCAATGATTTCACTAGCAGGGGTGCGATACATTGGTAACAGTGGCATCTTTATTCATAAATCAACATGTTAAATGTTATAACTACATAATGATAATAAAAGGCAATAACTTTTACCTCAAAAATTTTAGTCACAATAAATTCTGCTTCAAGAACTTCATTTACATTAAGCACATCATGTATTTTATTGTTTCCTTGAATTCCTAAAATCTGAATTCATAAAATAAATATTATATCTAATTCTTATGACTAAATAATAAATTTACTTTAAAATACCTGTCCTGGAAATAAACTGAATGTTGAAAGTTCATTCAATGACAATTTAATCCAATTCCCTCCAAAATATGGTAGCGTTTCAAATAATACAGATTCCGGGTTAAGCTTTCCTTCGGAATCACACCATATTCTACCTATTGTTATTATCTCATTCTTTCACATGTATTATATATAATATGAATCATTAATACGAAGATCATACTAATGCGAAGCAGTTTGCAATTATAAACATACTTGCGTTAAAGATGATGGGTCAGTTATTTCATCAATCTTACATTCTTCTTTTAATGTTTCTGCAAACGTTTCAAATCGTTCTAACAAAACTGGATTTGTTTCAGACCATATTCAAGATTAATTAATGATTAATAAGAATAATTATGGGATTATAATAGTAATTTACCTTCATATTTCTCTCTAAGAGATTGATCCATATATCGATATGAATCCATTTGTTGATCAGGTAAAACATTGATTTTAAATTCTTTGGTCATCGGGCTATCTAAGTTATCAAACGGCGCTAATTGTGAATTTAGTGTTTCTTCGATCTTTCCTTTATTAACACGTTCAGAAAATTTTTTCGATTGAGCATTTATACTCTTTGAACCAAAACCTTCTAATCTATGATTGCATATAAATTTTAAGGACCCGTACACGTTTTTCAGAATATACGATTGCTAACTTCATAAATCTTTGGACTAAATTTGAAGCAATTCGTTTAACCATAAAAAGGATACGAGTCACTAGCAGTTGGTTGTGCACTAGCAGTTGGTTGTGCACTAGCAGTTGTTTGCGCACTAGCAGTTGTTTGCGTACTAGCAGTTATTTGCGCGTTAGCAGTTGTTTGCGACATTGTTCACATATAATAGTAGAGAAGATCGTTCTGTATCAATATAGGTTTGACGCGTTCTTAAAAGAGTGACGTACTGAATTTTCGGAAATTTCACTTTAAAGCCGAATTGCCGGTAGATCTTCACATTTTTAGCCCCCAAAATTGCTTGCACAATACAAATACGTATATCAAAGCCCGAAAATTATTGATATTTAAACATGTCGAACATTTTAAGGTGTACGAGAATGTAATTGTTAAAGGACCCAAAGAAAGTGTGCTAAAAAGAATAACATTTTCCGAAGACTCTCGAACAAAGACGATTTAGTCTTATTACAATTTGCCGAGTAAATTTGCCTGTGAAAGAATACCTCGGAATCATGATCGGCAGAACCGGAATTAACCAAGATCACTAGAAATGGTTGACTTATATCACTAAATGCTGGCCTAAATCCGACCCGGAAATTGGGGATCCCTGTAAAAAATGACAGGTTCACTGGTCTATTTCCTAAAACTGATCTAAATCGGATGAAAAAAGTTATTGTATTCGTAATTTGAAATGGCTTATTATTACGAAGCTAAAGTTGAATATATAAATAACGACTTGATTGTATTTGGATATTCTTTATTTTTATTTTTTTTTTTTGCGATTTTATAAATTGATTTTTTTTATCTAGCATAAGTAAAGAGTGCAAATTAAAAGTTTAAATAACCCTATCGACTTATAATAAGACTTAAAAAAGATTTTTTGAATAAAGTTTATAAAAAAATTTTTAGTATAAAATGTCCTTCAATTACCTCGTAGGTTATACAAATTTAGATATATTTTAAAAAACATAAAATGGAATTAAGAAAATGGAGAAGAGATCAATATTTTAAAATATCAGGGCAACGTTGCAAATCGTGTTAGATAAATTCTAAGATCAGTATAATGTAACAAAAATAAAAATTTTTATTAGACCCCTGAAAAGAATGATCAACACATGATTAAACAAACCAATTAAATATTATAGTATTATATGTATGAATATATAAAACATCAATACGTAAAGACGGTGTTTTTAATTTATCACAAAATTGAATTTATCAGGAGTCTGATCAGCCCGTTTCCGTAAAGTGAAAATTTCGTATGTTTTAACTTTGCGGCACTCATATTAATCGCGACTGTTCAATCAAAAGTGCTGCGAAAATATGAGTTCATGAATAAATAATCTGATTTAATTAATATCAGATATTAATATCGTTTATAACAAATTTTGAATTGTCATTTATCTCATTATCTTTGACATAAATGATATTTTATATGTGGCGCGTAACTCGTCGGCTCTTGTCAACATGCATGATCAGATGTTCTTGGATATCATGAATCAAGGATTAAATATTATGTACTAGAAAACAAAAGTTCTTAAATACTTAAATTTTTATGTTATTTTTTGTTTGACGCCGTTTACACTGAAGATTCGAATTTTAATAAACAATTTCAAAAAAAGTACATCATAATAAACAAAACTACAATATGCGTTAAGGTTAAGAATTGACCTAATTTTTTAACCTAATTATATAACTTAAAAATAATTAATAACTAATGTGTATAACAGTGTTTAGAAACCAATTTTACTGTAACTGCTAATTACATTAACTGCCCTCAAACCATAATATCGTTGTCGCGTAACAAAGGTTTAAAAACAACGAAAATAAATAAATAAATCAAGTTTTTTTTGTAGCTGATTGGATGGACAGACTACAGTTTAAAATAAGTTGTAATCTGCTACTTTATCAGCGATTTGATATGAGTCGTTGCATATTAAGCACCAAGAATCCAGTGTAAGAAATATAAAGAAGGTTAAATCTATACATCTAAAAGGAATATAAAACAATGAGCCGTCGGCCCCAAATTTATAGAAAACAAAAAATAAACCTCAAAAATACAACAAATAACCCTTGTAAAAGAAATAGAATAAAGGTGCAAACCAAATATTCCAACAATAAATTAGCCAGCAACTTGCCAAGTTGTTGTTCACGATAACAGCAATCACTAATATATTGTTCAAGAAGCGAAAGCTATAAATAAAAATCCACCACCTGCTTTAGCCAAAACAAAGACGCCAAAAGTAAAGGCCAAAGCAGGTTTAAAAAAATAAAATGAAAAGGCTTGGTGCGAATTTTTTTGCAAACGACGAAGTTTGAACGTTGAAAGATCCAGGGTTTTTAAAACATTACATCATTAATAACAATTACGTCATATCTGATATGTCCCGTCCTGCACTCCGTATAGATCGGAACCAATAAAATAACGAAGTTCTTCGTGTAACAAAACAAAGGCAAAAAAACTAAAACTAACAAACCGTAGCTAACACAAAATTTTACTATGATAACCTGTTTTTAGCCTTTAAGTAAAAATTTTTAGAATAAAATTTTACATATAGTGTCATTTTTTTATACAATAGGTAAATAAAAGGCGTCTGTAATATTTACTTAACTAAATTTTGATCGGAGGTCCGAATTTGCAGGACATAAGGGGTACTCGTGTTTATCTCGTGTCAATCAATTTCAATCAATCCACAATGCACGAATCTCTGTGTATATCTCAATAGGATAATACAATAATACAATAAAAATAAAAAAGTGGAAAATAGTTAAGCGGTAGATCGCAGTTGAAGGGTATAATTTCATAGTAAAAATCAGCGGAAAATTACTATTACTTTCATATAATGTTGGAATGCCGAAAGTTTCTGGCATTATGTAAAAACCATATAGTTATAAAGGAGAAAATGTCAATAGCTCGCGATCTACCGAACCAATTTGAATAATTCTACCACTATTAGAACCGGAATGACTTGTTATATAATCTTTGTTAGAAGGTTTACTTGGCATGAAAAAACTTTCATTGTAAGCTAGCTGCATTCCAACCCTATGGAAAAACCATATAAACTTCCGGTAATTTTTACTACTAAATTCGCTATTTTTATGCCCTTTAACCACGATTTACCTCCTAATATTTTTTTATCTTTGTAGGGTAGCTGGCTTTCTCAACGTTGACTACAATGCCATCAGTTCTGTAATATATTTCCGCTATATTAATACTTTTAATATTGTATATGAAAAAAAGTAAGGATGTTAATCGACCAGTCCTTAAATCACATGAAAACATACGTACCAGTCACATGACCCTAACCTAACTAAATGTTATGGACACGTACCAATCACCGATCTTAGTTTAGGATCCTGAATTAACAATACAATTAATTTGATTGGATGGACTTATTCGACAGATTCAATTCAGGATCTGATACGTACAGGAATGTATTATATTTTCATGTGATTTAAAGGATCGAGTCCAGGACTGTCTTTTTAGACCTAGGATTGGACCGGACTGCAATTTAACATCCCTAAAAAAAATATTAACATAAAGCAAAAAATGTTAAGATTATTAATTAATATATTCTTAGATATATATTATATGAGTACTGTCAAGAAAAATAGAACTTTGGTTTTGTCTGGCTACAGACAAGATCATATGTAACGGAAAGCTAACTATGGTTTGCTTTTAGGTAAAAAATTTTTAGCATGAAATTTTAGTCCCCTCTTTTATCATGATCAACATCGTAAACAAATTTCTGTGTAGTTGTATTGTGTTGGAAGAGAGACAATGCCTATAAGTTAACTTTCTTCTGATTGATCAATTACTTACAGTTGTATTTATATATGTACAGTGGTTGAGAAAATTATGATAATTTTTTAGAGTATTGCTATTTTTACCCGGTGGGCATAATACCCGGTATGAGAAAAAAATTTTTAAAAATCAATAATATCTCAAAATTTTACTATGATAACCATATGTAATTGTCTTAAGTAAAAATTGTTCAGCATCTAATTTTACATATTTCTAAATCTACTGTAACCCTAACCATCATATATATAGGTCACTATATAAACATGGGTAATGATAGCAAATTTCTTTTTTAATAATACGTATCCAGTCTTGATATTGCTTTCAGAACAGTTCAAGTGAATCATCAAAAACTTGGTTACAAAACCTGTACAACAAAGAAAAATTGGATTGTTCAGGGTACGATTAAAGTTCTTACTATTCGATAAAGTATCATGCTTGAAACTAGCATCTGATGTCGGTTAGTAAAACTTCAAGCAAATGTCACCTTCAAACTAGAGATTCTGGTGATTCATCTCAATAATGTCCTAATGATGTTACGATTTAAGCCGTAACTAGCTAAAACTTATGCCATAACTAGTTACTTCAAACACGACATCGACTATCGCTATGGGACTATCGCTATGGGACTTAGAGACAGTTCGAAACCGGTCTGAAACTAGTCCATATAAATCACATGATATAGCTAGTCATTTTGACATTGAGGATTTGACGTTAATTGCTTTTATCTACCGTTACGGCAATAAAAAACGAAAGATTATTACACAACTTTTAGAATTCTGTATGACTGTACCTTTTATACCTAAATACTTAATTATAACGCAAATAAACAAAATTCGTTTGAATAATATGTAGTTATTGACTGCATCGCGCCCAATAGCCATATATTATTCAAATAAACAAATAAACAGTATCTATTATTCTATTATTCGAATAAGGAATCGATAGTCATTAAAAATAGAAACATCAGAAGTTTTATATTATTAAAGAATATTTATTAAACAATAGTAGAATTATTATTATCATCATCATTTTGATTTTCGTCTTCATCAAAAATATTTGGATCATCATCATAAATAGATTCCCAGAAAATATCATTCAGATCTCTACTGTTGACTCCAATTGTATATAATGCAACATTCCAAAAACCTTTCCAACGTCTATTCTGTTTAACAAATTCATGCATGAGTGCATTAATAAAGTCATACTCATGTATTCGATGATTTTCAAAAAATGCTTGTCTTTCTTCTGTAGATGGGATTCCATATAATGCGGCAATGTTATTAGCGAGACCCAAGAAAGTGATTAAGTAAAACGGATTATCAACTAAACTCTTCCAAACTGTTGGAAAATCAAATGTAAGTTGTTGAATCCATGCCAAAGATCTTGATACTAACAAAAGTTTTATATACAATGCCACTAAACCTAGAACTAAAAACGTTGGTCTAGCTATAATTGCGTAAAAGAGTTTATATATTAATGCTACTTGTGATCCCCACTGCTTGAGATGAAATTGGAATTTAACTAAATCTGTTATCATATCTAATGATGGAGGTTCATTAAATTCGTTCACAAATGCTGAAGGATTAAGAAAATGAATAAATTTGAAGAGCGAAAATTCTGAAATTTCTTGAATAATTTTAATCGTATTTTGAAATAATATTACTTTATTAAGGATGGAGTGAGAAATAATAAACGTAAAGAAATTGCCAAAGACTGCCATCACTAGGGCTATGAGAAATGCAAATTCGAGCGTGAATCCAATTCCAGTTGCCGATCTGATGAATTCATCTCGAGTGTGTAAACCAGATGTCACAAACATATTTGAAATAGGATCATTTTCGGGAAAGTCAATAACTAGCTCAAATTGTTTGACAATAAACACAATATTCAATAATAATTGTCCTAATAATAAGACTAATTTCAAGTAAGCGATTAATCCTAATTTTGTTTCTATCAATTTATTTGCAAATGAACTTAAATATTGTGTGGTCGTTGGAATTGGAGGTTGAAATTGAGCCCATGGAATTTGATTTTGGTTTAGATCATTTTTAATCGCTCTATTTAGATTTTTAAACTCCTCTTTTGCAATCCAATATTCACGTTGTGATTGTGAATCTTCAAGGTTTTTACATTTCGATAGCCAAATGCAATAATCTTGCCAAAATTCTGTTAATTGACGAGGTTTTATAGATACCGAAGGTTCATCAGATGCTTTTTGATAAATTTTTTCCAACTGTTCTTGAATTTCTTGGTCATTCAACCACTTTTTGGGTATACTCGTAAAAGAAATATTATTATGACAGCTACGGGATGTGTATGAAGTTCTCCGGTATAGTGGCATAAATATCCAATACAGATGTCCACATTGCCTGTGATTATAACTATGACTTCGTTTTATTCGAGGTTTATCCATCTTGCTAAGTTTTTAGTAGCGAAAGTAAAATAAATAAATAAATAAGAGAGCAAATAAAATTTATCAACTTTATTTTTTAACTACTTGAGAAATTTGTATACGCGACACCACATTTTTGCATATTTTCTTGCGGTATTATCCCTTTGTACAACTTGAATGGAATTAAATATGCATGTCCAAATATGTAAAATAAGATATTTTGTGTACTGTTATGAAATTCCATTTACAGTATTCTAATTTGGTCCAAAAAAATACGGCTGTTTTAATGAATTAACTTTAAAGTGTTATAGTGATCCAAAATTGGTACTAGATTTCTGACTCTGCATTCTTATTTGCTTTCCAGATTTCAGGACTTGAAACTCTACTGTGTCAATAATGATACTCGTAAAACTTTACTTACAAGTTAGGGATGGGCGAACCTATATGGTGGTGAAATTGGTAAAATTTAATATAGCAGCCAATCAGATTTTAGATTGCCTCCAGTTTCACCAGTTGTATCGGATTGAAATTCAATTTCAGACCAGCTAATGAAAAATCTGTGCCTGGCTGATAATTTCTATGCGTAACATATACCAGGAATGTAGTAACAGGCAACTAGAATTACAAGTGCATGATGATTCGATGATGGTTATACATATATAAAATGTAGCACATAATGAATTCATATAATATGTATGTGTGCAAGTATAATGCGTAAAATTGTACAAAAACACGTTTGTGTAATTCTGTATATATTAATTGAGTACATACGTAAGTTGTATCAATTGTAACAGTTTAGAAATATGGATTTCACAATAGTTGCAACATCACTTTTTACTAATCAAAGCTATTTTTAAATATTCGTTAGTAGAAAGCAGTTTATTTCATTCATTTGTCATCCAGTTTTTGGAATATGTAGTATAAAATTGGATTCAATAGTTTTTAAGCCATCTCTCTTGTAAAAACACATAAATATATCAACTCATCAGTTTCAAATATAATTATACTCATTCCAAAGTTCATTGCCTATACGTATTTCAAAATTTTCTGATCTATAATAGCTTTCTCTTTATATTTTATTTACTGTATATTCATCTAAATGATTTAGATATTTATCATTCCTACTTGTATACAAATTAGCAAAAATAATATAATATATGCAGTTCCATTTTGATGCTAGCAAGACCTCGAAATATTTTGAATTTGGCCTTGCTTAATATCTATGTTCATTCATGCTCTATTTAGGTTATTTCGAAACAGCTTTATTATTTTCTAATGCTAGTAAAATTAGAAACTAGGATGATGGCTTGTGTAGTAATTTGCTATATAACTTATGTATGTGCCCATAGATGATCCAACTATTAATATTTGTGAGTGAGTCAATAGAAACACATCATATCATTTTTAATGAAACTTTTTTAAATCTTTAACTTAGCAAAAACTTAATCAAATTTAATAATTTTTTTTTAATAAATTTTATAAGTTTTTAGAATTGGTTTAAAAAATTTTTATTAAATTTAATAAAGTTGTTGTTGAGTTACTTTTGTTTAAAGTTTTAAAAAAATTTATCTAAAAAACTCTGGTATGTTTCTATTGATTTACTCTCATTTTATTAAAGAAGTTACATATACTGTAAAAGATTCTACTATCATAAATCATTTATAAGTAATGTGTATTCTATATATATAATAAGCTTAGAATTTTGTATATTATTGAATTAAATTTTATTTTTAGTTTAAATAAACTCAAAAGCTATTGTTTTTGCTTATGTATATATTGCAGATTTAATTAATTTAAAAGATAAACTTAAAATAGATTGCATAAAACAATTAGTAATATTTTTAAAATTATTAGAAAGTTTATTAATATACTTAAATTTTTAAATAACTGTACTACATGTTTGGTTTAAGTCTAACTACATTGTACAACTACTCTAATTAATCAAGTTATACTTTTATTTGCATAAAAATAACTTAAAAACTATAATAAAGATATTTAAACAATTATAATAACTATAGTATAACTATTAAGATTAGTTACATAATTGATATTTAAATTTTAATTAATTAAATGTCAAATATATTAATTAAATAAAAAAATAATTTAACAAAAATTATAAATTTTATTAAAAAAAATAAAAGTATATAGATTATTTTTTATATAATTTGCATAGTATGCATAATAAAATTTTATATATATGACCTGCAGGTCGGTAGCGAAGTGGTTACGCTCCCAGGTTACCAATCGTAAGCTTGCCGGTTCAAGTCCAACGGGAGACAAAAACTGAGTTAGGACCACAATTGTTAATTAACCACATTAGATGACATCTTACGAAATTAGAAAGATCTTTGGTACTCAGATCTTAAATGGCGACAGACCTGACATAAGAAGGCTGCGATGATTAGGGGGCTGAGAATAAAAATAGAACAAAGGAATCCCCGATTAGGACAATCCCAGTGAAATTCCAGGGTAATAGGAACACAAATTGAATATAGATAGTACCGTAAATGTACACAAACTAAAAATATAAAAATATAGACAAGGTCTTGATAGAAGGTCCTGTGAACTTGAAATTTGAACTAATAAAACAGCTGCCAGCTGCAGACTACTAGCGATCAAGCAGTGGAAATTCAAAAAAAAAAAAAAATTTTATATATATAGCAAAAATGTAGCTTTAATAAAATCTTTTAAAATTATGTCTAATTTTTATCAAAATTTTGTATTATATAATTTAAAGTTTTTTATTTATATAGTACGGGACAGTAAAAGACATCCAATCAATACATATAGGCGCCAATTTTTGGTTCTTATATGATTAATTTTGATTGGCTAATTTTTGTGTAATTGATTTTGATTGGTTAAAAATATATATATGTTTTCTTTTTTTTTATATT